GCGGGCGGGCGGGTGTTCAGCCGTCCCCGGGAGAGCGAGGCGCCGTCGCGGGTGACGGTGACTTGGGAAGACAGACGCCATCACTCCCAACGTCCCCCCCCCTTCGTCTTCCCCCGGCTTTATACGCGGGGCATGACGTCATACGGTCTGGAATGTCCCTTTGGTGAGTTGGGGTCAGCTGTCCCGGCTGTGCCCCCTCCCACCTTCTTCTGCCCCCCCGGCCCTCGCTGGTGGGGGGTGTGAGGAGCAGAAGAGGCCTCGAGTCTGCGCCAGCACTGCTCAGCAATGGCTGAAACGTCCCGCTGTTATCAACACTGTTTTCAGCTCTGACCCACAACATCGCCCCGCACTGGCTACTATAAAGAAAATTAAACTCGGTCCCAGCCAAAACCAGCACAGCAGCTCAGCGCCCTGGCAAGTGGGTCAGGACTTTCCCCGTGTCGGGTGACAGGGAGGAGCGGGGCAGGCGTGCGGTGGAGTTGGGGTGTCGGGCGGGTTGGAAGCGGCGCGGAGGGGCCGGCACGCCCCCCCAGCTCTGCCCCGACGTGCCCCTGAGCCGCTTTGGGCGACCCGAGCGAGCGAGCGAGCTGCCTGGCGGGAACGCGCTTTATTGTCTCCCCTGGAACAATGATCCTTCCAATTTCTGAGCCGTTACTCACCTGAACTCTTGCAGAACAAAAGCCACCTACTGCCCGCCTGGGGACGCAGCTGCCCAGGGAGTAGCAAAGCCAGAAAACCTGAGCCACGACAGGCAAAATAAAAGAGAAACTCCTGGAGAGGCTGTAAGCGAGGGAGGAGAGGGCTTGACCCTCCTGGGGGGTTAGCGGAAACCAGTGCACGAGTGGGAGCGCAGACAGCGCGGGACGGGTCGGGGAACAATGTTCTGGGAACCAACGACAACGTTCTGCCGCTGTGGCTGGGACATCCCGCTCGCAAACAGCCCCGCGCCTCCTTCCCCCTCGCAGGCAGGCGGGGACGTGTCGGAGCCGCAGCAGCATCGCATGTGTTTCCTGCACTGCCCTGATTAGGGGGAACCGGCTGGAGCAGTGTGTGTGCACCCCAGCCAAAGTGGTGGGACAGCGCTTCCCTGGGGACCGACGTGTCTTGCGCACTGTCGTGCCGTGGGGGCTGCTGGCTGCTGCCCACAGCAGGTTTGGGCCTTGAGACCCGGCGGTCTGATGTGCCGAGGGCCAGGCAAGGCACAGCTGGAGGGATGGGTGCAGTGGGAGTGCAGGAGGAGAGAAGTTGGGTGTCCAGCCCAGTGCCCAGCCCTTGACCCCCAGGGACCATGTAGACATGATGCTCCAAAGGAGTTTTTGTCTCATAACCACCTGGAGAAGGTGGTACTCCACAAGGAGTGTACTCCACAAGGGTTTATTTACTCTCTGGCAACTGGAAAGCTCCTGCATTTCCACTCCTGGGCAGCCGAAGCCCCATGGCATTGCTCAGGATCAGGGCTCCCCTCTCCCCCACCATGCTCCCAGAGAGCCCCAGTCGTCCTGTCCCCAGCAGATCAGAGGGCAGCTCCTGCAGGTGCAGTGTGGTCACCCTTTGGTGACCCAGTAATCAGATGTAGCTGTTAGCGAGATTGTCGGACAGATCCTACACCGACTACTGAGCAGCCAAGAGCACCATGTTTCTGCTGGGTCTCCGCCTCATCTCTAGGCAGGCCTGGCAGCGAGCAGAGCAGCTTCCCTGGGAAAAGAAGATGTGGAGGCTGGGGAAGGGATGGTCGATGAGGAGGGACGGCTGGGGGCAAGTGGGCGCCAGCGGCAGTGTTTCATCTTGGAAATCCCATCCAACACCAGTGGCAGGTGGCCACTGGGGTCTCCTGCATGGCTGGTATGTGGCGGCTCCCACCCCCATACAGTACATGTCTCTAGTTTTGTCTCCCTGCCCTGGGCAAAGGGCTGTCCCGGTGCCCTGGGGCCAGGCAGGGTTCCTCTTGTGCCTCCTCCCTGGTGCCAGCTGAGGGGTCCTCCACACACGTGGTCCCAGGGGCACCCACTGGCCTGAGCATCTGCAGCATGGCCCCATCTTTCCCGGAGCATGTGCACCATTGCTGGGGGCACGCGCTCAGCTTCCTTCCACAGCGGGGAAGGAGCCAGGCTGACGGGGGGGGGGGCTGGAGGAGCTGCAGGGCTGGGGGCTCCTGTGCAGCGGGGTCAGGCCCAGCTTGGTACAGAGGGTGGCACAGGGGCCAGTGGGTGCCGCGGCAGAGCCCAGCACTAGCACCTCAGCACCCCACAGCCACTGGGACTACCGGCAAGGTGCCTTCCTGGTGAGCAGCCCTGTTCAGCACAGGAGACATAGGCATGAAAAGCTGTTCGCGATCTCAAAGGCTTCCCCTCCCTCCCAGCAACACCACCTCCTCCCATCCTGCGTGGCCAGGCTGAGCCGCAGCTCACCAGCCCACATGGGCTTCCAGCGCACGGTCAGGGCGAGTGGTACCGGGCAATAACATGGTCAGCAAAACCATGTCCCCCCAGTGAACCCGCACTTGCAGAGCCCCCCAAAATGCTCTGTAAATGGATCCACAATGCCCCTCCGGGCACCTTAGCGAGGCACCATACCTGGCCATCTCCGCCAGATGCCAGGGTCCCTCGTCGATAGGAAACGTGTCCTGGGTGTGCAGGGACCTGGAGCGCTGCAGTGTCCCAGGGCTCCCAAGCTGCTACTCCGATGGCTCAGTGTGATGTGGCCCCGATGCTGCCAGCCTCGTGGCCCCGGCCATGCGGTGCTCTGCCAAGGCTGCCACCGTGTCGCTGCTTTTAGTACGGCGAGAAGAAACGTCTGAATTCCCCTTCCCCCGGCTGGGACATCCGCGCTGGTGTCACACAGCCACGCAGGGACAGCCCCGGCTCAGTGGCTGGCTGGGGGCACGCAGCAGCTTGCAGAAAGGAAATTTGCAGCTCAGCCCCGTCAAAGCAAGAGCGCGGGGATTTTCAGCGGGGTTTCTCTCTCTGACGCCGTCTCTCTCTTTTCTCATTTTCTGGAAATGAAACAAACGCGGGCTCCAGCCCTTCATGCCACTCGGTGTCTACAGGTGGGGGCGACAGCTTGTCTTCTTCACTCCCCACCAGCTGCCATGGGGACTTTTCAGCACAGGCCGGCTCTCCCCCAGCCTCCCCCACTTCCACGCCGCAAAGGAAGGGGCTTTCTGCTCCCTCCTGCCAGCAGCTGGGATTTCGGCCAGCCAGGTTTAGGGAATGGGAGGGCAGGTGGAGCAGGCTGGCACCAGGCACAGTGCTGTGCTGAGACAGGCAGCGAGCCCCCGGCCACCCTTGGAGCCTTCCCTCTTGCTGAGAAGCGCTGATTTTGGGCAGTGAATGGATGCAGCCAGCCTGGAGCACAGCAAATGATATCGAGTGGCTGTTCAGGGGATACAGGCGCTCTCTCTCTGACCCATTGCTGCCTTGCAGGTGACAGTGGGCAACTCCAGCTGCTCCATGCATCAGTTTCCCCAGATGTAAAAGGCGAATAACAATTCCTGGATGCGCCATAATCAACTCTTGGCCGGTTTTCTGCCCCTTTGGCCAGGATCCTGGTCCATCTCTCCTGACAATCCCCACATCTCGTGAGTCTGTACCTCTCCTGTCCCTGGCTGGCCAGCAGGCACCTCTGCCAGCCCCGAGGACTGGGCATGTGAGGACAAGCAGAGTGCGGTGCAGGGACACCCATGGGCGCTAGCTGCGGCAGCATCCTCATGCTCAGGGCTCTGCCCCAGTGACAGGCACAGCCCGGGGCTGGGACACAGCTGGGTGGAGGGCTTCAGGCTGCACAGGAGCTTGCTACAGCTCCCTGCATCTAGTTCTTTCTCCTTTGCAACAATCAAGAGAGGAGTTTTCTGGGACACTGCTTCTTTTAAACATCTGTTCCCCTAGAGCACCGTTAAATTTCTGTTGTTAAATTTAGCCCCTTTTCTGGCTCTCCAGGAGCTCTGTCGGTGTGAGGATGCCAGGGTCAAGCAGCACTGAGCACAGGGGGGGATGAGTAAGGAAGAACACCACTGTGCTCCTTCCCTGCAGCCCCAAGCACAGCATCTGTGGAGGAGAGCTGTTTCTTGGGGCGTGCAGGGGAAGCTTTGTCGAACATGAGCAGTCCTGGGGGCTCGGGGCTTATTCCAGGAGTTTTTGGAGCAGGCAGGGTGTCTCAGGAAATGAGCTAAACACAGTGCACAACAGACACCAAAAACCTAAACACAGTGCACAACAGACACCAAAAACCCAACATCCCCTGGGAACGTGACCCCATCTCCATGCTGACCAAGCAGTAGCAACCCCCAGAGCAAGCCCAGGGGAGAGCAATTGCTCTGCGTCTCATTCAATCAGCCAGGGTATTTAGGTGACTTATGAAGGATGCGTGTGTCTGGAGGCTGCTCTGGTTTTTCCCTGGGGCTGCTCTGACACTTGAGGAGCAGAGATCCTTTAGCATTAGCCGTGTGAAGCCAGTGGCCACGGGGAGCATCCTCTGGCTGGTGAGACCCCCCAAATGCTTGTCCTCCCCAGCTCCTGCAGGCAGAACCCCCCCCGACACCCTGTGTCAGGAGCGCGGCCGTTGTGCTCCCGCTGCCTGAATCATTCAGAGATGCCTCTGACGTGAGAAACGAGAGAGAAAGGAGAAATGCTCCGCTGACACACTTCTTGCAGGGAAAGCCAGGGGAGGACAGCAGGCTTATTTTTGGGACTTCCTCC